GGGGGGGGGGGGGGGGGAGAAAAATAAATCCTTGGATGTGAGTCTGGGGTATTTTTTCACCTCTCAGAGCATGTAGATGACTTGTTAATACTAATGAGGCATGCAGCTAGTCGGAGGGAAGCCCCTTGCATGCTGAAAAACAGCATTGCAGGAGTGCGAGTCAGGCACGTGTTGCAGCACCTTTCATTGGTCTGGTAAATAAAAAGCTTTGAAAACAGGAATATCTGAATATTTTTTAAATGGCCTGTTAGGATCCCTGGGCTGTGGCATCCCTGCCACGTTTAGGGCAAGAAATGAGAGTATTTAGTGGCAGTGCTGTACGCAGGAAGGGGCTATGTGGCTGGGCGAGAGCAAACGTGCCCCCACGCTCTGGACGCATCCGGGGACAAGGCTGCAAGGAAGGGCTGAGAGATGGGCACCCGCGAAGAAATGGTGATTTAAAAGCTCCGCAGGTCAGAAACAGGGTAAACTAAGTACGGATTACTAAAACAGATGAAGATTTATAGAAATTGTCAAAGGAATGCGGTGCCCTTGGCAAGCGATGAGAAAAAAACAACCCTGAAAGGTGCCTGAGCAAAAGCAGTTAAATTAAAACCATCTTTGCGACTGAGTTTGAGGAGGAAAACAGCTGGTAGGGGCTGCAGCGCCTGGTGCAACCTGGGGCCGGGGCAGCCTGGGAGCACACACAGTGTTTTGGTTCCTGCTGGTATATGGAGCTGAAGTCACTGCTCATTACAGCACAGCGCGGACATGGGAAGGGGAGGCAAGAGAAGAAGCAGTTTTCACAAGCTGTCTTAATCGTGCCTCAGCTCTGCAGGAAAGGGATTAAACCTGCAAGTAATTTGGAAATGGGAAAAAAAAAAGGACAAAACTGGATTTCAGTGAAGCTTGATTGAGAAGCATTCACTTTTAATAAATTCTTAAATAATATTAATAAATAATATTAATATTATTTAATAACTTCTTATATAATATTATTGTATTTTTCTACTATATACAGCCAGTCTTTCATACTGTGACCCTCTACCCATGCATGTGCCTATTTTAGCCTAATCAATGAGCTATCCAGAAACTGATCGTTCCCCGGATCAGAGTGGGTAAAAATTGTTTGTATTAATTTACAAAAGAATGGATATTTAACTCAAATTCGATTTAAGTAAAACACTTGTATTTTAAAAGTCTGTTCATCATTATTTTTGAAATCGTGACAACATATATTAAAACCTGAACAAAAATAACTGCAATTAACATATCTTTTTCAGGTTTACCGACGGAATTTTTTGAAGAGGCAAACAGATCAACTGAGAAAAAGCAGCAGAAACCAAATTTTGCTGAAGTAGTTTGAAAAGAACCTTTGCTAGCAATAGCCTCTTTGGAGGTATAAAGAGCATATTTCCTCATATTAGTGTATTCACCTTGTCTACTGCCATAAGTGTTTAATGCAAGGTTGAAAAAGCGGGCAGGAACGGAACAGGAGAGAAGCAGCTCTTCTTATGGGTGAATAAAAAAAAAAAGGAGAGGCAGTGATCTACCACTTCTAAATTCTTGCAGGATAGAAGAAACAGAAACAACATTAGCTCCACTCCCCAGATACAGTAATTTGTGTCCTCAATACACCTGTCCGCTTCAAAGACCGGGTAGATGAGAAGAAGAGAGGATTGCGCATTCATGTGGTGGTGGCAATATGAACAGGATCTTCAATGGCTGCTGCTGACAGGGGTGGGGGAGTGGAAGTCCCCTTAGCCCTGCTGGTAAGTCAACCCCTGTGTCACGCTTTGAAAAATGTATCTTTATTCTTTACGAATCCAGCATGGCTTACCAGCTTTTATCTCACCCAAAAATATGTATTTTGTGTTCATTTTCATTGAATTCCCATTCTGGTTACACACAGCTTGGTAGGCATTATTCGTTTGAAGAGTCTTTATTAATATAAAAGAGATGGTAATGAAGCATATGCATTCCCTGAAGGAAGCATAAAATAAAATGAAAGAGTTTAATCTGTACTTCTCAAATGAACATCACAAATACAAGAAGTACCAAATTTAAAGTTAAGACTAAAATGAAATTGCTTATTGACTGCCAACTGTTGCGAACTCACTTTTTCTTAGAAAAAATTAACTAACTAAAAATTTGAAACAAAAATTAATCAAGATCTTTCCTTCTTTGTGGTTGCGATTCTGAATTCAACCACATCACCACGTGCCTGAAATGTGTAAGAGCACTCCTGGGGCTCTTTCCTGACCCAGGAGGTAAGGCAAACAGCAGGGTCCCTTTCCGAGGGTCAGCGGGAGGACAGGTGGGCTGGAATAACATCCCACCTGAAGTCCCTGCTAATGCTCCCAGCGATGCGAGTAATACCAGCATTTCCCCTGTCGGAGGTTACATGACTAGACCAGTCCTTTAGCTACTGATTAACTTCACTCCGGTGAACTGGCCGTGTTGCTCCAGATGTTGAACCGCTAAACCATATGGATCCAGCTGTTGGATTTCAAGGTCCATCTTTGAATGGAAACATCCCAAAAGGGATGTTCAGCCCCTGAGCACCCCGGGGATGCTGTATCTCCGCAGCTCGACCTTGGCCCTCACAGCAGGAAAGCGAAGCCGCTGCATTGCTCATGCTAAGACAAAAAGAGGGAAAGATCAAGTTCATTCAAACATTTCCTTTCTCAGCTCTCTAGACTTTATTTTTCCAGTTTAACTTACAGCAAGCCTTCCAAATACAGTGCAAGCCCAGAACATGTGGCAAATGTTCATTTCAGATCCATTTTCCAATACGCTGTAGCTGGTTTGTAGCTGGGGCATACGCTTTGATCCTCCCGCTTGGAGTCACATGAAAAGTCAACTCGGTTCTTTTTTTGCCCCTCAATTCATGGGTATTCTCCGTCACTGCCATTGACACCTGCCCAGCGGGTCTGGAGAAGGGGAGATGGGTGATCCGACACGTCTGCTAGGACTTTATGCTCCTTCCTTAGATGGGCAGACGATCCTAGGGGATGTCGAGCAGTAGAAAACTGGTTGCACAGGTCTGTGCCTTGTCCTCAGCTTCTTTACGTCACGAGTGATGTTTTGGGCAGGACCGTGTAGGAAAAAATACCGCTGTCGAAGACTCTCAGTGACTAAAAGAAATTGACTGAAGGGAAAAGGTCTGTTTGAATTATAAAGGTCCTTGGCAAAAGATGGAAAGAAGGAAGTTCCTTCGAGATTCTCAAATTAATAACCTACCTAATTAATAAGGGCTGCTAGCAGAGGGAGGCAGTCCACTCATTTATTTCATCGAGGGAGTGGTGGAAACTCTCCTCCAAAACCTGAGATCTGTGGTCTCAAATTAATGACTTGCAGCACTTTCCAGAGCCCAACACTCTTTACGAACAATCGGCGCTGCCTGGAAAGTTCGTGCGGGTCTCCGCGGCACACGACGGGCACCTCCGAGCACCCCTGCGCTCGGGGGCACCCGGCGCGTCACGGTCCGGCGGCTACTTCGCGGCGCTGCCTGGAAAGTTCGTGAGGGTCTCCGCGGCACACGACGGGCACCTCCGAGCACCCCTGCGCTCGGGGGCACCCGGCGCGTCACGGTCCGGCGGCTCCTTCGGGTGTACTTTCCGCCCCCTAAATGATTTCGGCAGCGGGACCGCTCACCGCCTGTGCCGGGGCCTAACGCCGCCCCGGAATACAACGATTTTCTTTTGCACCTGCACCACTGCCAGCCCTTCGGGGCAATGGTTCAAAGCGCCGGCCAAGCAGCCCCCCCCCCC